TGTTGCTTTGCACACAGTCCTAATGAAAGCAAAAATATCCCTAACTGTCCTAGATACCTCACAGGAGTCTCCCTCCATTCCACCAAAAAAAAAAAAAAAGCCCCAAAAACCACCAACCAAAAACCAAACTAACAAAATTTAACAAAAGAATTACACACAAACAAAACAAAACAAACTCCCCAGGAAAGCTAGAACAAAGCAATGATATCCTTTGCTATACTCTGCAGTACTTTCCTCTAAAGCATAATATCTGCTTTGAGAAAGATACTCCTTCTATTCCCAGGAGCAGGGACAATCATTTTATGTCTATTACATGTTCACATCAGAGCAGTGTTGGTGGCCAAGAGCTGTAAGGTGTTTGTCACCACAAAAACCACATGTCCATCTCCCTAGTTTTGAAACAGCAGCTCCCTTTTTCCCAGCTATTCCAAGGCAGTTTGTTTTCCTGGCAATGACCACACGGTGGTGATGTATCACCATCAGTTCAGCCTTCAGGCCTCGCTCCCAGGAGCTCAGTACTTTGTTAGAGAAGCTGGCAACTCAGAGCAGAGCTCTTTTACAAGGATGTTTGTAGAGTGAGCCCTCTAAGCCTGCTTTACCTCACAATTTATGCTCCCTGTTTAACTGTTTCGTTCATGGCGTTGTGTAGCTTTCCAGCCAAAAATATCCTGGAGTTTTTCTAAGAGCAGATGTATCTCTCAGCAGGTATGTCCAAATGCAGCAGTATTTGGAGTTACTCATAGTGAGTTTAATTTATTTGTCCATCTGATTCAGCTCCCAACCTGTTTATATTTTTTTGTTTGGTTGGTTGGTTAGTTGGTATGGGTTTTTGTTTGGATATTGGACATTTGTTTGGTTGGTTTGGTTTGGATTTTTTTTGTTTGTATTCTCTGGTACTCTATCAGCTTCCCAGGGGGGAAAAAAGGAAAAAAAAAAAAAAAAAAAAGCACTTCTGCAAACTCCTTTAAAGTCAGGTAATGACAAAAGCTCACTCTTCCAAATTTCTCCCTAAATGTCTTCCTCAACAAAGCTTTCCAACCACCTTTCACCAAGGGCAGGTACTAAATGGAATGTGCACTGCCTGTTCATTGTCCTTTCCACCCTATTCACAATATAGGCCTTAAATTAGCTACTGTATGTCCTTGGCTGAATGTAGACAGTGACAGCCTGATCTAATATGCAGTGAAGTCAATGAAAAGCTTTTGGTTTTTCTTCACTTGGCCCTGAACCAAGTTCAAAGTTGTCTGGTTCAGGAACCAGATCTTCTGTGCTTGTACAAGGATGATTATTCTCCAATACAGATGTAGGTTACAAAAAAATCGATTACAACTTTGTGCACAAAAGGAGCTGTAAGTAACAAAGACAGCATGTCTCAAATCAACAGAGAGATTAGCTCCAGCTTAATTGGTTTGAAACAAGGGCAGATCATCAACTGGGACAGGAGAACTGGTTTGGACTTAATAAAAAATGCATAATTTCCCACTCACAAATTTTACTGCAAACTCATACTGAACTTCTAGAATAAAAATTATTTTAATGATCATTTTGCTTCCGTTGTTAGGGATCATTCTACTTTTTATATTTTGTCAAGGATCAGAGAAATATACACCACCACAGAAAGAGGGCTCTTTTTGCAAAGAGAGTGACTTAATACAGGAAATATAAGAAATGTCATAAAATATTGTATTCAGTATATATTCTTGACCAAATATATACAGGCACTGGCAGTTCATACAGGCCACTCTAGTAACATTTTACCTTCTTGACTGGAAAATCCTTCTGTGCTCTGGAAGTGTAGTGTGTTTGGTTTCACACCCCTCCACTGGTGTGGACAAGTCTCAGCATGCCTTCTTAAAATCTTTGGAAATGGACAACATATTAATCCACATTCACCTATTTCAAGTATTTATTAGACACTTGAAGTCTCCCTGCAGCTGCCGCCCACTCAGGAAGAACTGAAATTCCCTGCCCTTTCTTGCTGCTGAATATTTGTGAATCCACCCAAGTCCTCACAATAAAACAGAGATGAATATCTCCTTGCTCTGACCATCCTGACTTTAGACAGCTCCTCTGCTATTTCCATAAAACACTGAATTAGGCCTCTCTGAAAGGCTGGCATGCAGGACTTTCTGCCCTGCAGATGAAACTTAATGTATTAGAGCTCTTACTGGGATCTCAGATCTTCTCTTTTTGCTTTGGATGAGATCTTGAATCAAAATCTTAGAACCACAGAATCATAGAATGGTTGGGTTGGAAGGAACATTTAATGGTCATCATCCCCTGCAATGAGCAGGGACATCATCAAGTCAATCCCCTTCCTCAGAATCCTGGATAGCCTGGACTGGAGTGTTTCCTCACAAGAGTGAAGAGATCAGTGTCTGCCCTGGCACCTCCCTGGGCAATGTTCACTGTTTCACTACCCTCATCATATAAAATGCCTTCCTTATGTCTAGCCTAAACCTACCCTCTTTCACTTTCAAGCCATTGCCCCTTGTTCCATCACAACCCTCTTCATACTTCTAGTTTTTTCTTGCTCCTCAATCTGCTGGTGTCTGCCCAAAAGAACTGGCATATTTTGCTGCTTTCAGTTGTCACTGCCTACTGCATATATGGGGAAGTGGATGCCAAAGGTTCTGTGATCTCTTACAGTGTGGGTGGGAGAAGATTGGAACCAGCTAAAATCTGTGCTTTGATCCTGAATGATCCAAAGACAATTGTCCCAAATCCCTTGACCCTTTGTGCCACAGACAACCAGCTGGGAAAGTGAATGAAAAGAACAATTTTGCTGCAGATCAAACACGGCTGAGCTAAGCTCTCCTGGGCCAGTGAATTACAGTTCCTAAAAAATCTCATCTGAGCACAGGATCTGATTAAAACCTAGGTAAAATGGTAGAATTAACAAAATTATTTCTTTACAAAAATGCTTAGCTGAACCTAGGCTCAGTAACACTACCGTGTATGGGCAAAGATTATCTTTTGTTTTCAGTACTGAGGCTGAAACCTCGGTTCTGATAGTTAAAAATATAAATTGCTGCTTATCAGTCAGACCTTTCCCAGAACTAACACCAGAATAGCTCCCTTTTTTTGTCTCTGGGAAATATCTGAGACCTGGGAGTGCAGATGTGCCCTGGGCTAAACAGTTAACCCACCTCCCTCCCTCAGCACATTGCTCAGCTCTGATAACCAGGACTGGAAGTGATAACGAGAAAGTTCACAGATGATGCAAAAATGGGAGGAGCTGCTGACTCCCTTGAGGGCACAGAGGTCCTGCAGAGAGACCTTACAAATCAGAGGACTGGGCAATCACCAACCATATGAAGTTCAACCAGGGAAAGTTCTGGGGTCTGCACCTTGGATAGGGCAACCCTGGGTGTACAAATGGTTTGGGGAATGAGAGGCTGGAAAGCAGAGCCGTGAAAAGGGACCTGGGGGGGTCCTGGTCATTGGACAGTTGAACATGAGCCAGCAGTGTCCTGGCAGCCAGGAGGGCCAGCCCTGTCCTGGGAGACATCAGGGACAGCATGGCCAGCTGGGCAAGGAGGGGATTGTCCTGCTCTGCTCTGCACTGGGGCAGCCTCACCTGCAGTCCTGTGTGCAGCTTTGGGTGACACAATGTTAAAAAGACATTAAACTGTTAGAGAGTGTCCAAAGGAGGGCAGCAAAGATGATGAAGGATCTCTAGGGAAAGCCATGTAAGGAGTGGCTGAGGCCATTTGGTCTCTTCAGCCTGAAGGAGATTGAGGAGATCTAATCACAGTCCAAGGCTTCCTCAGGAGGGGAAGAGAAAGGGCAGATTGATGATCTCGTCACTCTTGTGACCAGTGACAGGACCGGAGGGAATGATCTGAATTTGTGTCAGGGGATGTTTAGGTTGAATATTAAAAAAAAGTTTCTTCACCCAGAGGGTATATGGGCTCTGGAACAGATTCCCCAAGAAAGTGATCACAGCAGTAAGCCTAACAGAGCTCACAAATCATTTGAACAAAGCTCTCAGGCACATCGTGTGACTCTTGGGGGTGGTCCTGGGCAGGAACAGGAGTTGGACTCAATGGGTCTTGTGAGGCCTTTCCAACTCAGCATATTCTGAGGTTCTGTGATTCTGAGAAATTAGTTTCACCTAGAGACACAAAGAGCAGAGTTCCTCGACCAAACAGAGATGATTCCAATGTCTTCAGTAAAAATTAGAGTTAAAGACAGTCAGGGACAACTAGATCAAAGGGAATCTTTAGTGAATTTTTATGTAAATCAAAGTCCACTTGTTTTGTGGAACTCACCTGGGTTAATATTCAGTGTGTCTGACACACAGGTAGTGTCTGGTCTCTGAATGGTCAGTGGAGATTAATCAGCACTGTCAACAGATATTTTGATGTGATTCATCTAACCAAACACAGGGTACAGTTCACAGAGGTGAACTGTGAACTGCCAGGACATGTGAGCTGCAAAACTCACAAGACCACAAGTTGTGCTGAGCTCTCAGTTACCATATTCATTTCTTTTTACAGCTGTCAGTCAGGAATGGTTATAGAATATTTCAAACCATACAGGTGTGACAACCCTCCCTTTTGAATCTTAAGTGCTTCCTTGCCCTTAAAGGAGGGTCATCACAGACATACTTATTGAACAAATTTAGCAGTGTTTAATAAACCTGTCCTGAGTGACTGCTGTAGCATCACTCAGTGGGGACTCTTTGCAATATCTAAGGTGGAATATTTTTAATGAAAATTAGAAATGAACAGTGATTACAAGTGGATTCTGTGAATCTTCTTTCCTACCTCTGTGGTGCTAATTTCTTTTTGGCAGTCTATCACATGCTGACTGTAGTACCTAGGGGAGATTGATTTCAGAGCACTAACACAGCCTGTGTTTCTCTGCAGAGTCCCTGATTTCTCCCTGGGTGCTATTGAGTATGGGGGCTATGCTGAGCAGCTGGTGATTTCCCTTTAACATCCTGCTGGAAGAGCTCCTGCAAATCCAGACATTAGACCAACTAATAGAAGTAATAAAGCTGATACCAAGAACATTTATTTTAACTATACAACAAGGCACAATGTTAAAACTGTAGAGTGCCTGCCTGATTTTCTGCAGTACATAATATGTCTTGCATTTTTTACACTAACCAGAAAGACATAAACATGTCAGAGAAACTACCCAGGATACAGAAATATTCCTTGCAGAGTCACATAAGGAAAGGCAGGCACCATTCTTTAAAACCAAGCATGCACAATTAACAAGAAAAATATTGCCAATAAAAAGGGGGAAGATGGCCAGTGAGTATAATTAGATGGGATAGTTCAGGGTGTGGGTTTGGCAAGAAAATGACAGCTAGAAGTAACAAAAGCACTTTCAAGACAATTGATGCTTGTACCTGTAGTTTTACAGAATCCTGTGTGCAAATGAATCTTCATAGAGGACTTGTGGCTGAAGCTCATGGTGAGTGTCTGTCAGAAAAGAGTTGAATGGGATCCCAGAATGGTCAAAGGTTTGTTTTTTTTCATGGAAAAATGTCTCTTTGTTGTTATTTGTCTCCAGTGAAGGCTCAGACTCAAAGGTGTTTAGGTGGCAAGGTTTCAACACTGAGATGTAAAATCTAGCTCATCAAAGTTCTCATGAATTCTCTGACTAAATATTTCTGAGAACCTGGCCCTAACTAATTCAAAATAGGACAAAGGCAAGCAATATAGAGGGAATGGAATACAACATTTCTCATGGGGTCCATGTTTTGTGCATTTCTTCTTACTCATGCACTGATCAGCTGGCTCAGCCACCCACATCCCCTGACCCCTGTCCCACCAGAGCCAGCCCCTGGTCATGACATTCTCATCCTCATGAAACTCCTCTGAGGCAGGAGATCATTAGCTGCCCCACTGGGATCTAAGATACAAGTTCACATGGCCACATGGAAATGCTGTGGCAAAAGCCCTGGACTGTGCTCTTTGCCTTTTATGGGATTCCTTTGTCACCAAACTCTTCATCAGCTCATAGTAATTAGGAATACAGATCATCTCTAGTCTCGATATTGCCTCAATAACAAACAGCTCAAACTCAGTGGCTTCAGCTCCAGAAAGCATCCATATGGGAACATTCAGTGAAATCCAAGGACTGTGTTGGAAACAGCTGGCAAATATACAGAACTGGAGGCAAGACTGCAAGCAATACAGCAGTAAGCACCACAAATTCAGTATGGAGAGTGTCTTTTAAAATGTAAACGTCCTCGGTGCTTTGCAGCAAGAAGCAATAAATGTTTTATAACATTTTAATTGAAAGCACATAAACTGAAATGATTTGAAAGAAAGAATCCATGAGTGTATATTCAGTACTGAAGAGATATAGAAGCAGATTTGTGTCAAATTACATTTAGAAATATACTTTGAATGGGTTGATCTCAAAAATCCTTGAATTGCACAAAATTGGCCTGGAAGAGACCACAAAGACTTTTGTAGCCTAGTCCTCATGTCCCAGAGCACAGCTGAGGAAGCTCAAAAAACTCTTTACCATTGTTTAAATCCTCCAGTGAGAATATCCTGGGGTCTTCCCTGGCAGAAAAAAACAAAGCAGTTCTTCCATGGAGAAGCTCAAAAACTCAAGGTCAATTTGCAGTATACCAAGAGGAAACATAAATGAGTGAGGTGTCTTCCCCAGATATCTTACATCCCTACATCTGGCTTTTGCTAGGTCAAGGTTGGGTTCAGAGCAGTCTTACTGAGTATTCATCATCTGATGATTTTTCTTTGTTTGTCAACACTTGGCCACAAGTCTTGCAGAGGATTCCAGCTGAGGAAACCAAGACAAGAAAAGGTCTTTTTAGTTAGAGAGAAATGTGTCTTGTCTGTAAAGCTGGAAAAATGCAGTAACATTCAAAGCCACTTTTCATCCCTGGGGGAAGCCTGTGGGGTACCCTGGAGAGAGGCAGGACAGATTATGTCAGTCACAGGGGAAAGAATCCACTCTCACAACCAGAGAGAGGTTTTGCTGCAAAAAACTCAGTGTATCATAACCTATATATATAAAAAAAAAAGCTTGCAATTGTAAAAAGGCCTGATCTTAACAAAACTTGCATAGGATAATCTGTGTTTTCTAATTTGGCAGATTAGTAATGATTATATTATGCCAGAAAACAGAGCCACACTACAATTAACCACTCCTTTATTATACCAAGTGCCCTCCTGTTTTATTTAAGTAATAAGGGATAATGACTCTATCTAGCCAGCGAGCTGTGCTCTGTTCTGACTGTCAGGTTTAATTGACTGTCTGCTTCTTGCCCTGCTCCCGGGGCAGTGCAGCTGAGCTCTCTCCTGGACTGGGCTGGACTGCAAGTTTTACTCCAGCCTGCTTAGCAGCTGAATATAGATGAGTTTAATGTGAAAGCTCTGCTAGCGATTTCCAAAACCAGGCATGTTTTGCTCTCTAAGAAAATGTGAGGGGTGAAAAGACATAAGCTGTCTTTGCTATGGACATCTTTACTGTGGACATCTTTGCAAAGCATTTTCCTAAGCATTTGATTGCAGGACTGAGTCAGATCACCACTTTCCAGCAGCTTCCAGCCCGTGTAAGTGGTCAAGATGGTTCTTAAGGAAACATTTTAATCATGAGGGCAAACATGCTGCCTCTCCAAATATTTCATTACCTGCCAGCAGTTAGCAGGACAAAATCATGAAAGAGCAGTCACATCTTTATGTTCAGTAGATCTTAAGGGATTTTTCTTCCATAAAGTCATTTTGTTCCTCTCTGGTTTCACATGATCTGGTAGTCAGCTCTTGAACCCACAACAGCCTGTGGTGTGATGCTCCACAGCTCAGCCACACAACACCTGAAGAGCCCTCACTTTCTGTGCACTTTGAACTTGTCATTTTCTAGCTGCAGACAGTGCCCACTAATACTATTCTTGGAAGAGACAGGGAATGATAATTACCTATGTACCCACTTCTGGCCACTCATGGTTTTATAGACCTCTATCATATATCCCCTCAATAGTCCCTGAGGTCTCCTAATCAGCTTAATTGTTCCTTGCAGAGAAGTTGTTCCATACCTTTATTATCCTTGTTGCCTTTTCCTGAACCTTTCACAGTTTTGTTATAACTCCCCTGAGACAGGGGAGCAGGAACATGCACTAAGATGTGTATTTATATACAGACACACTTTGCTGGTTTTGGCTGGGGTAGAGTTAATTTTCTCTGTAGTACGTGGCATGGGGCTGTATTTTGGATTTGTGCCGGAAACAGTGTGGTAATCAATACTGGGATGTTTCATTATCCTGAGCAGGGCTGACACAGTCAAGGCCTTTTCTGCTCCTCACCCCAGCAGTGAGGAGGCTGGGGGTGCCCCAGGAGCTGGGAGGGGACACAGCCAGGACAGCTGACCCCAAATCACCCAAGGGACATCCCACACCACATGGCATCTGCTCAGCTCATAAAGATGGAGAAAGGGAAGAAGGGGGAGGAAATTCAGTGTGATGGCATTTGTCTTCCCAGGTCACTGCTATATGTGATGGAGCCCTGTTTTCCTGGGTGGAGATGGCTGAACACCTGACTGCCCATGGGAAGTTGTAAATTAATTTCTTGTTTGGCATTGCTGGCACACATGGCTTTTGCTTTACATGTTAAATTGTCTTTGTTTCAACCCATGATTTTTCTCACTTTTCCTCTGCTGATTTGCTTCCCCATCCCACCAGGTAGGAGTGAGAGAGCAGCTGCATGGGGCTGGGCTTAAACCATGACACATACTCATCTACTCTGTTCATTAGCCCTTTACTAAAAACTCCTAGATTAGATTGGTTTTTCCAAGTGTGTGAGCACAGACAAAATGTTTATGAAGGTAAAATCTTTGTAAGCAAGATATCCACAGACCATGTTCCTGAGTAGTAAAGTCATACAAGCTCATTATCATTCAGAAAGCTTTGGACCATTTTTATGCATTTGTATTATTTATTCACACTGAATTTATCGGCCATATTATTGCCAGAGCAATACCTTTTGCAGTTCTTCAAAGCTGGACTTTGTTTCTCTAATCTTAACTTTGTCTTTCTTTCCTATATCATTACAAATATGTTGGGCAGAATGAGTCATAGCAATCTCTTTGCAGAACTCCACTCCATGACAAATGACCATTTATCATACGTCTTTCATTTCCTATCTTTTATCCTTTTTTTTTTTTTTTTTTGTCAGAGAGCTCATGCTTATTCACATGCCTATATGAGCATTTTAGAGATTATGTCAGGCAGAAGAGTTGATTTTCATCAATGGTTTCTACCTGATATTAATTTTAAGTGAAGACCGATCCCAGCATTAGCTCTCTGAGGTTACAATCTGAATGTGATAGTCTGGCAGATAGCATGTGAGCACTACCCCAAGATAAAGATCTTCCCCTTTTCAACACCATCCTCCTCTCCATCTCCTCCCCATCTTTGGAAAAATCACCAAAACAGTATCACAGAGTAACTAAGGCTGGGAGGGACCTCAGGGGGCCATCCTACTCAAAACAGGCTATCTTTGAGCAGATTTTCAGGGCCTTGTGCACCCCAGTTTTCCATATCTCCAATAATGAAGAGACCACATATATTTAACCACATGAGGAGACAACTGGCATACAATTAACTGCAGCATATATATTTGGGGTTTCTCTAACATAAGACCCAGTTATATTTGTATCACCACCCTTTGGCTCTTAGTGGTGATGTATTTCTCCCAGCTCACCTTTACTGTTCTACTGGTGCTTTGTATGATGCATATTAGGACAATGTTGGTGGGATTTCGTTACCTAAATATAGATATGTGCAATCTGAGATGCCCGTGTGTATTCCTTTCAGCTTCTGACCCAGGCTGCTGAAAAACACAGGTGTCTGTTTCTCCTGTATTATACTGGCCAGCCCCCAGATGTGTCTTAGACACAAAGGACTCATCAGATAGTACAGACATTTATGTTTAGTTAACTAAGTCATCTTAGCACAAAAATTCAATCTAGGAAAATCCATTTAGGTTTGGCCCTTTGTCAGAAGGGAAGAATGTTCAACCACAGCTCACTCACCTCATAGCATCACTGCTATCAATAGATGCAGGTCAGAGTTAAATGTTTTCCTCCTCCTGTGGTGGAAGAACACAGCTTTTCCACTGCATTGTACCTGTTCATGCCACCCTCTTTTGCATCATAAAACAATGTTTCAAATGATGGGGAGTAAGAAAAACATAGTTCCTAGGGCAGTGGGGCAGGCTGAGGGAGAGCTGAGATCCTGCTTGTCATTTCCCTACACAGAGGCATCCTCAACATGCATCTCAAGTCCAAGTCTTAGATACAAATAATGTCATAATAAGAGAAACTATGGGAAGCTCCCCTCTTGTGGATGGGTTACCTTACTGACAAGTTACAGATGAAACAGAAAATGGGAAACCCATGGACCACAAAGCAAACTGTTAATACAAAATGAGCTGGTGGATCCAGAGCACTTCTTTTTGTATTCTTCAGTAAATAAAAATTCTTTGACATCTTCTGTCCATGCTGCAAGCACAGAAAGTGTTGTCTTTTACTTCACTTGTGACAATCTCTTTGAAATGGTTTTACTTTACAAAAACCAAATCCTGCTTCACATGATAAGTTAAATGAGGGCTGAGTACTGTGCAAAGGTTGTATTGGCCTCTGAGCAACAGGGAAACAATTTTGCATCAAATGGATTTAATTACACAGAAGTTTGCTTTAACCAATTTGAGTTGATCTGTGAAACAGTGAAAGAGAGTGCAAATCACTGAAAGAGAGCGTAAATCTCTGCTTTGTTCCATTAGGGTAATGTCAGCAGAAACTAACTTACAAATTTCAGTCCTTTAACTAACTCAACTAGCTGAACAGGGTATTCCTTCCCATTTCTCTCTGCCACTATCTGAAAGGAGGTTGTAGCAAGGTGGGGGTTGGTCTCTTCTCCCACGTAACCTTTTCTTCACTGAAAAGGTTGTCAAGCATTGGAACATGCTGCCCAAGGGAGGGGTGGAGTCCTCATATTCAAAAACCATGGAGGGGTGGTGCTTAGGGATATGGTTTAGTAGTGGAACTAACAGTGTTAGGTTAATGTTTTGACTCTGATCTTAGAGGTCTTTTCCAATCCTAATGATTCTACAATTCTCACAGATCACACAACCCCTTTCAAAAACCAGCAGAACTACTTCTTAAAACTGTTTTTCTGTCCTCTTCCCATATGAAGAGAACACTTCTATTTTCCTGATTAATTTATTCATAACCAGCCTTTGCCTATTTTTTTCATGGCAGTGCTATCCTGAAGGCCATGCAGCTCCCATCTTCTTGCTGGTGCTTGCCTGGTGTTGTGTGAGCAGACAGAAACAGACCCTGTCAGCCTTCCTGGTGGCTGCAGAGCACTCAGAGCTCTCCATCCCCACAGTCCTTTTCTGTCCCTTTCCAGGCCACTTTTTTTTTTTTTTTTTTTTTACTATGGGTAGTGGCTTTACTGTCATAGTGTCCAAATCCCTCAGAATGTGCAATGCTAAAAGATAATCAAATGCTCAAATCAATGGAAAAACAGGCAAAGGACAATCAGACATGATGGTTGCCATGCTGTAAATTTTACCACCTTGGCTGCAAAGAGCTGATCTCTGGCAGCATGTGTATTCCTTGTCCCTTCCAATGCCAAGCTGGTTGACCACTGTGGCTTCAAAAACTAAGTTTTATCCCAAGTTTGTTTCCCATTGTAATTCACAGGGTTCATGGACAAGGCTGTTCTCTGCAAATTTGCTCTCTGCAACTTTCATGGCAATGATTTTCAGTTCAGGGTGAGA